CATAACCTGGAGCTAATCGGTATTTACCCWGACCAGCTATCGCTCTGGCTTCTTCAGTATAAAATTCTTCTGCCCATCTTTGGAGGTGGGTCGTAACGGATGCCACTTCCTTGGGAACGTCTTCTTCTCTAAGCATCTTCTTTTGAAGTCTATATTTCAATTCCAGGCCATTTGTGTAAAATATTCCTTCTATGCCAAGCTCACTTCTGGCGGACATTATTAGACATTCCTTTAACAGACTTGATCTGTGTCTTTCAAACCATTGGTAAAACCCTGGCGCCACAGGTTCCCAGATTGTCTTCAAACTTTGAAATTTGGCATCAAAATCACTCTCATCATCAGCATTCGCTAAGCCGCTTTGAATGAGCACCTCATTTTGTGATCCATATATATCCGCCATGATCTTTCTTTGCGTCCTCTATTACATCGAAGGGACTTTAACTTGTGAGCATTGTAAAAGTTAGGATGGGTGAATACAAGGGGTCAGCGGTTGCAAAACACAAAACACAGGAAACCCATAACATGCTTCCTTTTTTTTTTTAACATGTCTGTTTATAGGTCATAGTTCTGGAGCCGAAGTAGCATTCTCTGTAACCTTTTTGGAGCTTTGTGTAGAGGTTTCTTGACAATTGATTAAAGAGGTTTATGATCAGAGTGGACGGTAACTTTCCTTCCATACATGTAGGTGTAGTGGTGAAAACTTTCCATTCCGTATACCACTGCCAGCATCTCTTTTTCAATTGGCRCGTATCCAAGCTCACACTGTGTGAGAGCTCTGCTGGCGAATGCGATAGGCTGGCCTTGTAGCAGTAAGGCAGCCCCCAGTCCCTTGTCCGACGCATCACATTGCAGTGTTAGTTCGTCATCAGGGTCATAATAACGGAGTAATGGTGCTGCTGTAACAAGCTCCTTTATCTTGCGGAATGCTTGTTCGTGCACGTCTAGCCAGCACCACACTGTTTCCTTCAATGTCAGGGTTCTCAATGATTCACAAACTTCACTAAGTTGAGGCAGAAATTTATTGAGATCCTAGCAGTCTCTGTACGCCTTTCATATCCGTTGGCTTTGGCATGTCAGATATTGCACGTACCTTCTCAGGGTCAGCTAGCACACCATTTGCAGTAAGGAGGTGTCCCAGAAAGCGCACTTCTGTCTTCTTGAGTTGGATCTTATCTTTGTTTAGTGTAATGTTCCTTTCTTTACACCGTTCCATGAGTGCTCTCATTTTCTTGTCATGGTCAACTATGGCTTCATCTGCTGTATCGCCTTTGGCATAGACTAGGATGTCATCATAAACTGACACAACCCCAGATATGCCTTCTACTGCTTCATGTTGCCGTCATTGAAACTCTTCTGGGGCTGTAGAAATGCCAAATGGCATTCGTAGCCATCTGAATCGAAATGAAGGTGTATTAAACGTGGTTAGGTCAGCACTCTCATCATCCAGCTTCACCTGCCAAAATCCACATTTAAGATCTACAGTACTGAATATCTTGGCCTTGTTCAGGTTAGGCAGAACATCCTCAATCGTTGTGGTAGTGACTCCTCTGCAGGCTCCGTTGAGATCCTTGGGATCTATGCATATTCTGATATCATCATTATGTTTCTTAGTCGTGACCATACTGGATACCCACTTGGTTGGTTTGGATACTGGTTCGATTATCTGTAACTCTGTTAATCTTTGAAGCTCAGCTTGTAATTTATCCTTCAAAGCCAAAGGAACCTTTCTTGGAGGGTGTACAACTGGTTGTACTGATGGGTCAGTCGTCATGTGGTACTCGCCTGGCATGCACCCAATTCCTTGGAATACTTCAGGGTACTGTTCAAGGAGGGAGGCTTTTGAGAAAGGCATGTTTTCCATCTTTCCCATAGCACCTGTTCCTGAATGCAGACTGCTAATGTTCTCTTCTAGTACCTTTATCAGCTCCATCTCTTGTATTGCCACATTTCCGAGAATTGGGGTTGTACATGTAGAGTCATCAACTACCATGAAGTTTACCAGATATTTCTTCTTGTTTTTGGGGTTGATCATTTTTACTTTGCAGTGCCCAGCTGGTTTAACAGTCGTTCCATTATACATAGAGAGTACCGTTCTTGATGAAGTTATCTCTGCATTAAATCCTGTATCTTGAAGGATCTTTTATGTGATGACATTGCACGTTGCACTGGAGTCTAGTTGGAACTTGATGCTCTTGTTATTGATAGTCATGGCAGCAAACAGCTTTCTCTTCGGTTCTTATCCAACAGTGTTAACTATCTCTGGAAGTTCTGTCAGTTTCTTCACTTCATAATACTGACCATCATCATCATCTCCCTCGCCCTCACTCAATGACTTTACTTGGTTGTGAGTTTGGGGTGCGCTGGGGGATGTTTTCCCACAACAGACTGCAAAGTGATTCTGTTTCTTACATCTGTTGCATGTTTTCGCATATGCAGGGCACTTTTCGATGATCATTTAGTGCTGTCTTCCACAGTAGAGACATGTCATGGTAGGTTTTGCTGTTACCCCTGACCCAGACCTTCCCCTTCGATCAGGTGGGGTCTTAGAGCTGATTCTACTAACTGTGTCTGTGCTAGTCAGTGATTTGTTCCTTTCTTTAGACAGCTCTGAAGCTCTACAGAGGTCAATACAGCTCTTCAGGGTAAGACTTGGCTCTCTTAATAGTCGTTCTGTCAAACTCGAGGTGTTTATCCCACAATCCCATCTCTGAGAAGTGAGTCTGAGAGTGTCCCAAAGTCACAGGTTTTCTCTACAAGTCTCAATTCTGTTAAGTATTTGTCAAAACTGCTCTTGGTTTCGCATGAAGAATTTGTGTCTCTCGACCGTTTCACTCTTTTTAGGGTCACAATACACATCAAACGACTTGAGGAGCTCCTCAATCGTTCTGTCTTTTTCAGGAGTCATATACTGCATTGTTTTCTGGATTTCTCGGCCTTTCGCCTCAGGAAGATAAAGAAAAAGCTTTACCTTTGTAGCGTTATCATCCCCTGCTTTTGCCAGATCGAGGTATAGCATTACTTCTTCCCTCCATTTTCGCCAGGCATGCGATAGATCGTGGCTTTCGAAGTCGAGGGAATCTGGAGGTTTAAGCTGATTCATTTCTTGTATTTTACTTCAATAATCCACTGGACAGGTTGAACTTTTCTTTCTYGCACTTCTGACACCATGTAAAAGGTAGGATKGGTGAATACAAGGTTGATGCAAACAGATTGTGGAGACTGACTGACAAACTATACTTTAATATCCGCCATCTTAACTTGCACACTCTACCGCTGGTCAGCGGTTGCAAAACACAAAACACAGGAAACCCATAACAAGCATCGCGTTCTTGGGCATGTTGGGTGCACCACAAGGTTTGGGCGTTACGAAAAACATCTGTTAAGCCTTGCGATAGAGCCTTGTCTAAGTAGTGCCCAACTTTCTTGATGTCTTGGAGTTCTGGCTTCACGATGATAAGCTCACCAGCAAATCTTCTGTAGCACTCTCTGGAATTCTTGAAGTGCCAGTAGCTAGGACCCGGAAATTCTGGGTGTTTTCCAGTTAAATCGATAAGGGACTCATTGGTGTAGGTTGAATCTGTCAACCATAGGCCCTCAACCAACTCAAACGTAGTGTCTACGCGGAGAATCGAGTTGCCCTTTACACAATAACGAACCAAATCGTCGAGCATCTGGGGAAAGGCGTTCAATGCTATGTATGATTCTTTTGTGAAGGTTACACTTTTCATAAGGGAAAGTGATCGAAGTGACGCGATCATCCCTTCGACTTCACTGTTGATCTTGGCCTTGTCTGTGGAAGAGGTAGAGAACTCCTTATTCAGCAAATATTTTCTGTTGTCTATCATCTTAGTCCCACTGACAGTTTCACTCACTGTGTGTGCATTTGCTTAGTTTCTTGTAAGAGTGGAATAGACTTTTTCCGTGGATTGGCATTTCTTTAACATGTCATCAATTTGAGAGAAGAAGTTTGAGTCTTTGCGGTAAAAGGAACTGGCCGTGGGTTTCRCTGCGTTTCCATGCCGTGGAACTATAAAATTCTCGACAACTCCCTCCGCCTATTTGTATATAACAAGAGGGACTGTGGGCAAGGTCTTTATCATCTACGAAAATAACAAATAACGTAAATTATATCAGTTGCAACTTCAATGCTATTGACCTAGTATCATATTTTAATCAATTTTGAATTGAAATACTTGATCAGAGTCTGACAATAAAACAACTGAAAGAAAATGGACTAAAATTAAATTCAAAGAGATATGATATATATGTATAGTATATAAATAAAATATCGACAAAAAAGATATTGTTATCACAAGTTGAAACGATAAATCTTTCACAATCTTCTATGTCTTCGGTTTTTTAGCATGTCCTTTATAATTGAAGTGATGAAATAAAGAATGTGGCATTTATCTGTCAAGAAGAACACTGTGATTGGCTCTTAATGGCCGAATTATCTGGTCTGGTCATTAAATAGTCTCGATTTCCGGTGTTTTCCGGAGTTTGCGAGTGAAAACGCTGCCCGGATCGCATTATTCATACTTTTCAAATTTTAGTCAAACATATTATTTACTTCAATTCAAAAAATTGAAATTCGGCAAAACCTTTAAAGACGCTGTAGTGCAGGGGTGCGGTTGGTTGATTTTTTCAAACAAAAGAAAATTGTCAACACATGTCAGTAAAACTACGAGAAAGCGAACAGGCCACTTCCAATGCACAAAATAAAACTAAAACTGTTCTCTTTAACAACCCCAAGAATACTCAAAAGAACAAATAAACCTTAGGTTTTGCCTGTAGATYGAACACTTATGTTGATCACCGATTATGAGTTGAATATGGCTCTTCCGATAGCAAAATATCAATCAGATCCATTTGTTGGTAATTGTAGGTGTAAAATGTATACAGTGTGTATACAGTAAATGCTTTATTACGAACTCTTACCTACAGTTAAACACAAGATCACAAGACACTGATAAGCACGAGCGCTATATCTATATAAGTACGTGTTGCTCAACTGTGTACACGTCATAGTCACACAACAACTTGTCACATCTTTCCCATTCTAAAGGTAAAGTATCACAGTGCCCGTTAGAGAACAAAACAGTAAATATTCAAGTTGATGAAAATATAAATGCTTAGTCTTTCACAAAGTCTTTGTGCCAAACGGGTGGTTTCACGGAACGCTGTAATCAGCACAAGACAGGCTCCACTGCAGGTGGTGCGTCGGACTGTTCTGTGCGCTGTGTCAGTTCACTTGCAGGTGGAGCGTACTCGCCATTGTCTTTCTCAGGTGACGTAGCAGTCAGCGGCTCGTTGGTTTTCAGCAACTGCCTTCGATTACGCCTATACACCCCCTCTTCAACTTGGACTTCGTAGCTCCGGGGTCCAGCTTTAGTGGTACAGGTCACTCTGTTCCATGTTCTCTGACCTGGCAGCTGCATTCTGATTGTGTCTCCAATTTCGATTGGCGCTAGGGGCTTAGAGCGCCTGTTGTAGTAGTACTCTTGACGCTGCCTGTTACCCACGAGTTTCCGGGTTTCCTCCTCTGTAGCGTACCTTGGCTGTAAGAGTGTGCCAGCCATTGGGAGYAGGGTCTTACATCTCCGACCCATGAGGCGCTGGGCTGGACTAGTACCAATGCCAGCTGTAGGTGTATTGCGTCAGTCCAGCAGGGCTTGGAACTCAGAGATGCCAGACTCTTTGCACTTTTGGAAAAGTCTCTTCACTGTCTGTACCGCGTTCTCAGCCTTGCCATTCGATTGGGGATACCCAGGTGAAGACATCTTGTGGTCAAACATCCATGTTTTGGCAAATGCTGTGAACTCTGCCGAGGAGAACTGTGGACCATTATCCGTCTGGTATCCCAAACCGCGTAAAGATGGCCTTCAGCTCTTTGATGACTGTACAAGAGGTGGTGGATGTAATATGGGATACTTCAATGTAGTTAAAAGGTTCTGCTATCAAACTCACAGAGATCTGCTGCGACCTTTGCCCAGGGCCGAGCTATGAATTCATATTGAAGGAGTGGTTCCCGCGCTTGGTTGTTGCGATGAGCTAGGCATGCATCACACTTGGAGATGTATTCTTTTAGATCTGTTGTCATCCGTGGCCAGTCTCTTGCTCTAAGTATACAAGCTTCTAGGCCAATGTGGGTTGCATGGGTCTTGTCCATCAGTTCCTTCCTCAGCACTGTGGGGACAACCAGTAAGGGGCCTTTAAAGATCAATTCGTCTTGTACCGTTAGTTCCCCACATACATCAAAGTAGGGCTGTATACATTCTGGGACTTCGGCTTTGGTTTCTGGCCAACCACGGACTATGGTCTCACRAAGTTTCTGCTGCACCACATCGTCCGCCGCTGCGTTTTTTAGTTGCTGCCAGCGTTACTCTGTCACGGGAAGGTAGGCGCGATGGTCTATTGCTTCTAGTTCCCTTGTGAAGTCACATGCATTAACTTCCGGCAGGTATGCTCGGCTGAGCGTGTCGGCAAGTACCAGCTCCTTGCCCTTCTTGTATTTTACTGCGAGTTGGTACTTCTGGAGCTGCAGGAGCATCCTTTGTAAACGCTTGGGGGCACTGTCCAGTGACTTGGTGAAGATAGGCTCCAGCGGTTTGTGGTCTGTTTGAATGTTCACCTGTTGACGACCGTACACGTATGCCTCAAAACGCTTGCACGCAAACACGATAGCCAGTAGCTCCTTTTCTATTTGTGCCTAACGTGTCTCAGCAGGTGTCAGGGATCTTGAAGCATAGGCCACTGGCTGACCATTCTGCATCAATACTGCTCCCAGTCCTGATTGCTAAGCATCACACTGTAGAAACACCCTCATTTAGATTGTAGTAACGCAGTACTGGCGTGTTTGTGACTGCGTTTTTGAGCTTATCCAAAGCCTTTTTCTGGGCCTCTCCCCAGGTCCATTCTACATCGTCCTGCATTAAGTCCCTTAGCGGCTTGGTGATGTCAGAAAGATTTGGCAGAAACTTTGCAARGTACTGCGCCAGGCCCAGGAGCCGCTGTACACCAGCCTTGTCTGTGGGTGTCGGCATCTCTACGATTGCTCGTACCTTAGCAGGATCTGTACGCAGCCCTCTATCTGTTGCCATGTGCCCAATAAAGAGCACTTCGGACTTCCTCAGCTTCAGCTTGTCTGCATTTAGACGCACGTCTTTTTCAGCGCACCTTTCCAGGAACGCTAACAGGTTTTTGTCGTGGTCTCGAGTGCCCTCCTCGTAGGTTTCACCAAAACCTACTGCGAGGAAATCATCAGCAACTACCTCGATACCTGGCAAACCCTCAGCGAACTCGTGCATCTTCCTCTGGAATACTTCGGGCGCGGAAGAGATTCCAAAAGGCATGCGTCTCCAGCGGTACCTTCCAAAAGGTGTTTGGAAAGTTGTAAGGTATGTGGATTCCYCCGCTAATTTGACATGCCAGAATCCATTCCTTACGTCCATGAGCGTAAACACGTTTGCATTACGTAGGCGTGTTGCGATGTCTTCGATGGTCGGCAACTGGTAGTTCTCTCGAAGAATAGCGTGGTTGAGATCCTTTGGGACTAGACAGATGCGTAGTTTGCCATTCTTCTTGGGAAATGCTGCGATTGAGCTAATCCATTCTGTGGRGGTGGTTACTGGAGCTATTACTCCTTGTTCGACGAGATCTTCCAACGCTTCCTTCAGCTTTGGTCTCAGGGCTACCGCTACATGTCGGGGGGCTTGCTGCACTGGTTGGACCGTTGGGTCGAGCCGTATCCTGTATTCTCCATCCAGTTTTCCAACAC